CAACCTAGTAACTAAGTGAGAGATGTCCCTCTCTAAACCAAGTTGGTTCACCAGTGCTCGATATCATGATGGGTGGAGGACTCGGAGAAGCATTCTCCAGCTGTCTTCAATTTTGAAAAACAGCATCAGTCATTAAAATGAGAGACATGAGAAGAAATTGAAGTTAGACATAGAGATAGTGGAGAATTCAGAAAAGATAGTGCCCAAGTGAGAAGGTTTGGAATATAGAGAGGTAACAGGATGAGGGGACCTAGACTGAGACCAGGCAGCAACAAATTTTTCCAAGCCTGATTTCAGTTAAATCTCCTTTTCCTAGAAGAGGAAAAGTGAAGGGTAGAAAGAGATAGTGGATGAAAGTAGTGAGAATAAGAACAACCCCATTACTCTTTAGAAAAGTTCTGAAGAAAGTACCTCCCCTAACCCTAGCCATTCAGCAACTGTGGAAAGAGGACCACAAGACTCCTACAAGGGGAGGAAGAACACTACAAGCATGAAAAATAGATCCCACAACCTGCCCCTTGTGGAATTATATATTGACAGTGGCAAAATCAGTGCTAGGCTTACACATTTGGGTGCTTTCACACACTTAATGGGATAAACCAAAATGATGTCATTTATGGGAAAGACCCCTGGCCTGGAAACATCCCCCACTCACTGTCTGAAAAGCCATTATCTAGGGATTTCCATGGATTAACAAGAAAATATCCCTGGATGGTTAAGAGTAGAGGCTATCTGACATTTAAATCTTAGTATAAATCCCATGCCTTAGGCCCTTCACCACCAGAGCTCCTATAAATTAGTTTTAACCAGCTCCCTTTCTCACCCTGTACCCGAACTTCAGTGAAGAATAGGTGTTTTGTGCAGGGCATGTAAAGGAGGAGGACCAGTGTTCAATGTTGAAGCTGTGGGTGCAGAAGGGAGACTGGGATAGAGTGACAGCCTGAGAGCTCAGCAGTGGGTCAGGCAGACCTAGAATTAAGGGGGTCCCAAGGGAAGAAAGAGGGGGTAAAAGAAATGGGAGAGGGGTGAGTAAAAGTAAATGTTGAGATTTGTGAATGCAAAACTGGGTTGTGTGAGCAAAAGGAATGTCCTTAAAGAAGTGGGGGGAAATTACAAAGTTTTTAGATCACTTTATTAGCATTCACATTCTAAGTTGATATTTCTTTTTTTTTTTTTTTTTTTCACCGAAGTTCTTCAAGCAAGGGAAATATACTTCTCTCCCTGGCTAATTGCCTGAATAGGGAAATCACCAGACAAGGTGTCTTTTGGTGCCCAGCTAATACATTCTCACAGTCATTAAACACTGGGCAAGTCATGCCTTTGTGAAGTGCGTTCCCTAAATCACATAGCTATCTCTATTATGAAGAAAGATTGGATGATCTGTAGGCATCATAATGAAGATGAATTTTTTTCTGGAGCTGACCATACTCACAAAAAAACTGTCTTATTGGCATTGTCCGCTTTTTTCACCTCTCAGATGAAGTTTGAAAAAGCATCTTTCCAATTCGGCTTCCCCCAACTATACCCTTCATCACTCTCCATATGCCTTCCTCATTTCTAAGAAATGGATTCCAATATATTTTTAAAATTCCCTAAAGGAACATAGGCCATAAAATCAACTACCCAATTTCAAACCCCAGCTCTACCAAGTAACCATCTACTTGAGTGACCTTAGTTACAATATTCAATGTCATTAAACCTCAATTTCTTCCTTTGTAAAATGGAGATGGTGATAGGAGTCCACCCCTTAATTTAATTAATAATTATTAAATTATTTGTAAAGTGTTGACCACAAACCAAGCATTGGATGAAAATTGTTAAGAAGTAGCACACAACCAAACCTAACTCAAACCAAGCATTCAATAATTCCATGAAAATTATAGAACAAGATAAAAAGCTTTGGAGCTAAAGAATAAATTTTTCATGCAATATGCTGCTCCTAAGTAAGCATGCCTATCCAGAGGGCTGGTGGTTCAAACCCACCAGCCACTCCTCGGAAGGAAGGTTGGGCAATCCTACTTCCGTAGTGATACTGCCTCGGAAACCCAAGGAGGGGTCGCTATGAGTCGGGGCCGACTTGACGGCACATAACAACAACAACAACAACAAGTAAGCATGCATCATGTGCCTTTTTTCCCCTTTTGTTAATTTCTGTGCAATGTAACAAAAAGTCAGCTTCATAGAATAAGAGTGCTCCCACTGAGCACTATGCCATTTTGTCTTCTTGGGTTCTGCTGTATATAAGTCTCCTCTTTATTTTACTTAAGAGACCCTCCACTAAATTTCAGAGCAATGTTTTCCAGTGTGGATCTTAAATACATCCAGAAGTTTTTCATGACTGATGCATCTTTAGGAGCAGCAAGAAAAGGAAAAACATAAAATCAAGAACTTAGGCTGAAGCAAAAGAAAAATAATAGCTGTGCAGGGACATTAGAAATTATCCATCCAGCATGCTCCTTTTTTAGATAAGAAAACTGAGGCCTAAAGGAATAGTATGACTGTTCTAAAGCAACCAAGTCAAATATATCTAAATCTGTGCATAGATACCAGTGGAAAAAGGAACAGAGGTTTGGAAGTGAAGGAAAAAGAGAAAAATAAATGAAAGTCAAGATGTTCTTCTACAACCTAATCAGGAGTGAGGAGGGACATTTAGGGTTTTACTGTGATTCATAAAGCACCTTTACTAAGTTCTACTGCAAATCTAGAGATCTGAGACTACAGAGAATTGGAGCGGGAGTTCTATATCCCTTTACCTAGCACTATATCAAGGAGCTCTGGTGGTGCAGTGGTTAAGGCATTTAGCTACTAATCAAGAAGTCAATGATTCAAACTGATCAGCCAGTCCATGGGAAAAAGATGAGACAGTCGGCTTCCATAAAGCTTTATAGCCTTGGAAGCCCTATGGGGCAATGGTACTCTGCCCTATAGGGTCACTATGAGTTGGATTTGATTCAATGGCTGGGGGTTTGGTTTTGGTTTTATCACTATAGCAGCATTATATCATATTTATGACAACTTCCTTAATCACTGTTTTTTTTTTTTTTTCTTTTGGAAATTGAGTTGGTAAAATAATTCCTAAGATCATCCCACCTTTAAGTTTCCCTGAGTTTGTTTGTAACTCTGCTCTATACTAGGCACTGTACAAGATATAAGGAGGCCCAAGACCCAATTCCTGCCTTGGGATCAACCAATAAGATTTGAGTAGGTAGAGAAGATGGAAAAGGGCGTTTTAGACATAGGGACACAGCTGTTCTTGGTAGGTATCATCAAGTCATTTGCAGCTCATAGCAACACTATGTACAACAGAATAAAACACTCCCCAATCCTGTGCCATCCACACAAAACTTGTTACACTTGAGCCCATTGTTGCAGCCACTGTGTCAATCCATCTCATTGAAGGCCTTCTCCTTTTTCTCTGACCTTCCACTTTACCAAACGTGATATCCTTCTCCAGGGATTGGTCCCTTCTGACAACATGACCAAAGTAGGTGAGAGGAAGTCTGACCATTCTGGTTTCTAAGGAGCATTCTGGCTGTACTTCTCTGGGACAGATTTATTTGTTCTTCTGACAGTCCATGGTATTTTTGGTATTCTTCACCAACACTACAATTCAAAGGCGTCAATTCTTCATCAGTCCTCTTTATTCATTGTCCAGCTTTCACATGCATATGAGGCAATTGAAAATACCTGGCGTGGGTTAGGTGCGCTTTAATCTTGAAAGTGACATCTTTGCTCTTCAACAAGGAACACAACTAGAGAGGACAAAGATCAGATTCAAAAATGAGCAAGGACTTGAATAAGTTGTAAGGTGAGTCTGGAAAAATAATGAGCAATGTTGTTAGACTGCTAGATTAGAGTGGGAACTGTGGAGGCCCCTGGATGTCAAACAATAAGGAGTCCTGAGAGGATAGTGAGGAGCCCTACTGGCACAAACAGGGAGTTCTGCTGGTATAGAGGTTAAGGCATTTGGCTGTTAACTCGAAGGTCAGTAGATCTATAAGATCTCCAACACTCTGTGGAAGAAAGTTCTGCTTCCACAAAGATTTACAACCTTGAAACACAATATGGAGGTCGCTATGAGTCAGAATTGACTTGATGGCACTGAGTTTGGTTTTTTAAGTGGCTCAAACAGTTACACCCTGGGCTGCTAACCAAAAAGTTGGAACTAAAACTCACTCAACCGTTCCACTGGAGAAAGACCTGATGGTCTGCTTCCATCCTTAAATATTGTTATTGGTGGTGGTGTGTGCCGTCGAGTCGGACCCGACTCATAGCAACCCCTCCTTGGGTTTCCAAGGCAGTATCACTATGGGAGTAGATTGCCCAACCTTCCTTCCAAGGAGTGGCTGGTGGGTTTGAACTGCCAGCCTTCTAGTTAGAGCCTAGAAAACCCCAGTGGCAATTCTACTCTGTCACATGGCACCTAACAACAGCAGGAGATATTGAGCAGGGTAGTGTACTGTAATATCAAAAGGCAATATCAAAGCCAATATTTTGTATATTTGGGATTCCCATTTAAAATATACAACTCCAATATTCGAGAGGGAATAAATTGTCACTTCATAACTATTTGGGCTGTGTCTATATAACACCACATCAATAATTAAAGGAAATACTCAGGTAAACCAAGTTTGATATAGATTATTTTAATGGATTACATTTTTTTTTTAATTCAGCAAATCAAATTGTCTATTGGACTCAGCCCAAATTTCATGTTTTCCTTTTTTAAGGCTTCACAGCAGATAACAAAGTGATATTCTGACACACAGCTGGTGCAACCCTACCCATTTGGCTAAGTTTCACATAAAGACCAAGTCAGAATGGAATTTGAGGATCTTACAATTAAGTTAGATTCACAGGGGCTAGTTACTTAGTCCAATGTGAGAAATTCAAATGCATTTGTAATCATTTGAAAATTTTTTGAAGATGTATAAAGAGGTTTGCTTGCTTGGGTGGTTTTTCTAGCTAATTGGCTAATTGGCTTGTGTGTTTTCTTCCAGGGTCTTTCTTCCCTGATTCCAAGCCTTCAGAAACTGTTTTTAAAATAGCATTTTGGCTCGGATACCTAAACAGCTGCATCAACCCCATCATATACCCATGCTCCAGTCAAGAGTTTAAAAAGGCGTTCCAGAATGTGTTGAGAATCCAGTGTCTCCGCAGAAAGCAGTCCTCCAAACATGCTCTGGGCTATACCCTCCACCCACCCAGCCAGGCCTTGGAGGGGCAGCACAAGGATATGGTGTGCATCCCAGTGGGATCAGGAGAAACCTTCTACAAGATCTCCAAGACGGATGGGGTCTGTGAATGGAAGATTTTCTCTTCCATGCCCCGTGGATCTGCCAAGATTACCGTACCCAGAGAACAATCAGCCTGCACCACAGCCCGGGTGAGAAGTAAGAGCTTTTTGCAGGTCTGCTGCTGTGTGGGGCCCTCCACTCCCAGCCTGGAAGAGAACCATCAAGTTCCAACCATTAAGATGCACACTATCTCCCTCAGTGAAAATGGGGAGGAAGTCTAGAGGACAGGAAAGGTTAGAAGGAAGGGAGGATAATCTTAGGTATCCATTCCACTTCCCACCCAGACAGCCAGTTCAGTTTTCCTGGATAACAAACAAGATGGGACCATCATACAGGACCAACTGGGAGTGGGGGTGGGGAAGAAGCAGTGAGTAGGCACAGAGAAGGAGAACTGCCACACAATCAACCAGTCCAAAATGATAATAAAAGGCACTTCCTTGCTGTAAATCCTTACTCGGTCATCCTCTGAACCTGCTTTTCATGCCTGGCCCTTTCAACGAAAAATACCTACCATGGGAAACAGAATTTCATACACCATCCAAAGGACTATAAATATAGAATTATGATTTCATCATGAATATTTTGAGCTCACATGCTAAATTTGGAGCTATTTCTTGATGGCATGAGGAGGTTTTATTTTCAGGCTAAACTCACTGACAGCCACATTCAACGTTTACCGGGAGAGCCTGCAGAGGAAGAGTCTTCAGATGGTAGCTGATATCCAGGCACATTAACTTTAGATCAAGAGTTCAAACTCCACCATTTCTGATACATCCAGTTTCTCTGCTTGGGTGAAACTTACAAACATTTACCTTTTGCAGCACTTTGACTTGATATTGACTTTTACTCCCTTAGGATGAGAGTGAGGGACACTCATAAGTCTCTCAATTTAAAGAGACAAAGTCTCTACTTCGGGGTTCTGGAGAGTGTTGAAAGAGCATTTCAGATACAGTATGGCCTTTCCTGATAAAAGACAGTGGAGATGAGGGTCACAGTTTCAACTTAATTATTAGGAACAAAAATCCATTAAATTGTTCCAGGATTAGGTGAAGTAAGTCTTCTTCTGTAACATATTTAAAGATCAAGCGGTTAGGGTGGGGTGGGGGTGGGGGGCTTGAGGGTTACTAATTTCATGCCAATTCAGAGCTGCCCAATTACTCCACAGTCTTTTTTATGTGGCCTAGAAGGGCTTTCATGATGTACCACTTTCCACTTCCTGAGTCCATTGTGAAAATCCAGAGTTGACTTCCACTTTTTCTCTGCTTTAGTGTTGCATAATGAATGAGGTTCAAGGTCTTGAATGCACCTTTGGCATGTTGGAATAAGCCATTGTGATCCAGATACATCCTTCCTGGACTTTCAGAGATACTAATGCTTAGCTTGAGACAGATTCTCATTGATCAACCAAAGAACTGTGTAAAGTTGGGGTTCCCAAACTGTTTTAAACAAAAGTACATTTATTCTGGTAAAAAATCCAATAGCCATTCACTTTCTCTGTTCCCACTTTCTCCAAGAATTTGGCGAACATACTCTACTTTTTGCTTCATGTACACCAACTTTTGGTGAATTTTAATAATTCAGGCTATTACTAATGATGAAGGTGGTGGCGATATGTAAAATTTTAAAACATCTATCATTACACAAGATGAATTTACAATCTTATTTATATATTTGGAATAATTCTTGACTAGAATCACTAATCTGGAACTATTTAACATTTCCATGGCCCTGTACTCGCATTTGGGTAATTTCCTCTAAGAATTACAAAGCAAATTGTAGCCCTGTGTAACCTTTATAGCAAGAACTGGTGGCCTGGCCCACTCTTTCCTACTTATATCCCTTGCAATAAAATAATAACTTTCTTAAATTCTTCTAAAAGGAAAATCTCTTTGTGCATTGTAATGCAGTGTACGTTTTTATTTAGATTTGGGTTTTGTTGTTGGTTGTGTTTGGACCTAGAATATTACTGCTTTCTGCAGACCTTTTCTGGAGAGTGTCTTCTTGGCCAGATAGTCCTCTGCTTCGTGTTCATAACATGGACTCTGGCACTGAGATGTGAGCTGGGTGTTTAGACTTAGCTAAGGAGCTCTGGTAGTGTAGTGCCTAAGACATTTGACTGCTAACCAGGAGGTTGGCAGTTCAAACCCATCAGCCCCTCTGCAGAAGGAAAACTGGGCAATCTAATTCCATAAAGACTTACTGCCTCAGAAACCCAAAGGGGGTCTCTATGAGTCGGAATCGACTTGATGACAGTGGGTTGGGTTGGGTTTGGTGATGTGTCTGCATGTTCCATAACAGCTCTTCCAGGTGTGGGTGCCCTGTCTAGGCAGGCATCTAGGAAGGATTTAGATATGCAAACCTTGCTTCTCTCCCTGCCTTAACTGGAGAGACAAGTTTCATTGTTTAGAGAAGTTTCTTTCAGGACCTGAATAAGAAAACCACTCTGCCCTCCCTCTGCTGTGGGGGAAAAGTGTCGCCATGGGAGGAACGGTAATAGTTCCTCTTCAACAAAATACAGTTCCATTCTAGAGGTGATCTTTAAACAACGTGCAGGCACATTGAAATTTTAGTTATGGGGAAGCTTAGAAGCACTGGAAAGTTAGTATTAAAGCCACTTCTAATCAAAATAAAAAGCTAGAAAATCTCTCAGTCTTTTAGATGAAAGACTGAAATCTTTTATCTTTATCTTTTAGATAAAAACCCTGATCATTTTATCAGATTAAAACTGTTCAGAAATAAGTGTCTACTATCTTCTTCTCTAAGGAGCTCTGATGGCACAGCGGTTAAGGTATTTGGCTGCTAACGAAAAGATCAAACCTACCAGCTACTCCACAGGGGAAAGATGAGGCAGTCTGCTTCCATAAAGATTTACAGCCTTGGAAACCATATGAGGCAATTCTGCTCTGTCCTACAGGGTTACTATGAGTTGGAATCCACCTGATGGCAGTGGGTAGTACTCTCTTCTCCAGCCCTACTCCCTCCACAGGGCAAAGCTTTAACATTTTTCCCTTTCCCATAACAAGATATTGGGTATAAACATGCTGATTTTATAAGAAACTGAAAATGTTACCCAAAATGTAGTCAAAGTGAAATAAACAATATACAAGCTATTTCTTTTTTAATTCATGCACAAAAGTCTTTGTACTTTTAAGCATGCCAAAATCTATCTAAAATTATTACAGTTAAATAAATGATTGTCATGTTTATATTCACATGCTTACTGCTTCTATTTGGAGTCTGAAGAATTTACCCAGAGTAACAGTGGTTAAAATGTCTTCTCCAATGTGTTCTAAGGGAGCTCTGGTGGCACAGTGCCTAAGGCATCTGATTGCTAACCAGAAGGCTGGCAGTTCAAACCTACCAGCCACTCCTCGGAAAGAAGGTTGGGCAATATGCTTCCATAGTGATACTGCCTTGGAAACCCAAGGAGAGGTTGCTGAGTCTGATATCACTCTGTGTCAGTGAGAATGTATTATAAAAGGAGCCCTGGTGGCACTGCTGTTAAGTGCTCACCCTCTAACCAAAAAGTCAGTGGTTTGAACCCACCAGCCACTCTACAGGAGAAAGATGTAGCAGTGTCCTTCTGTAAAGATTGGAAACCCTATGGGGCAGTTCTACTCTACCCCCCACGAAGACTTGGAATCGACTCAATGGCAACGAGAATGTGTTAGAAGAGGCAGTTGCTTTGGGATTGCTTAAGCATGACAAAAAGCACTTAACATTATGGGAGAGGTAAAATTAGAGTTTATTCTACAATGCAAATTGCATGCATTGAAAGAAATCTTGAATCTCTTTATTCAAAGATCTTCTCAAAGGATTGCAATTTAAAGGATTTCAAAAAGCATTTTACTTGTCACAACCAACTTTTCTTCTTTTGCCTCTTTTATTGTCTCATCAGAAACTGTTTCTACCTATAATCACTTAGTGTATATTAATACTCTCCAAACTATTAAGGCAGCTAACTCTCTCACCACCTGCTTGGATTGTTCCATACATGGGAGATAGTAATATTTGAGTGTCTTAGTTTCCTAGCGCTGTTGTAACAGAAATACCACAAGTGGGTGGCTTTAGCAAACAGAAATTTATTTTCTCACAGTTTAGGAAGCTGGAAGTCTGAACTCAGCATGCCAGTTCTAGGGGAAGGCTTTCTCTCTCTGTTGACCCTGGAGAAAGGTCCTTATTCCATGGTTCCTTAGTGATCTTCACGTGGCATGACATCTGTCCTCCCCCATCTCTGCTTGCTTGCTTGTCTTAATCTGCTCTTTTTATATCTCAGAGTTGATTGCCTTAAAACACACACTATGCTGCTACAGCCTCTTAACAGAAACAAATCCATTCCCAAATGGTATTACAGCCATGAATGTAGAGGTTAGGATTTACAGCACATATTTTGGGGGACACAATTCAATCCATAACATTGGGTAAATAAATATTCTATGAAGGCTTTTCTGTAAGATCCTATTGTGCGCAAGATGCCTGTAGCACATTTTACACCCGTTGTTTCTAAACCTCATGGCAACTCTACTATTTCTATTTTAAAGATGAAAATCTGGGAGTTGAGAGCAGTTAAAGCCTCATCCAAGGTCAAGGCGGAACCACGACTCAGACCTTGGTCTCCATAATTCTAAAGCCTGCACGTTTTCCACATCTGCCACAAACAGTGAGGGTAAGAATCCTCCAGTTGGGACTTTGGTATGCTGAGGATATTACACTATAGCCAAATTTTTTAATGTTTTGTATCCTTGGGAATTGCCTCCCAACAAATCTTGGTAAATATACTGCTAAGTCTCAACCTCAGCCAAACCCAAAGATAAGGTCATAATTGGAAAGGTTTGGAATCTACAATACTCAATAATTAGATGATAGCACTTTTTTTAGGGAATAATGGCATGGCATGTTATGAAAGCCACCTAGAAGGACAAATTATACCATATTGGGAGAGGATGGACATATAAAGAATACAGAGGAAGAGTTGGCCTAGAACAGCAACGCCAAGTTGTGGCTGTGAAATACATTGTGCATTGTGTTGAAGTTATTGATTATCAATCACAGCTCAAATGCTCATCATGTTTATAAATACTTCCTATTCAAAATAAGTAAAAACAAATACAATATCACTTTCACTCACCTGTATTCCAACATGTTGTGGGGAACATTGGAGAGAGAGAGAAGGAATTATAAATATTTCACCAGGAATTCCACATAACCCAAAGAGTATGTTGCCATGTGAAAGTTCATATTTAGCACCTCAGGAAAACTGTTCAGAATGCTGGCCTCCAGATAGCCTGAGAC